TGGCATGATGGGATCTTCTGTGGGGGAGGGGGTAGATCTATTTTCATATTCAGCTACATCTTAGAGTTGAGAAACCTTGCTGCTTAAGGAACTCCCTGGAGATGGAGGTAGATGCAGTTGTATCCTGCAGAGTTCTTTTACCAGAAGCCTTTCTGGTCCCTGTTCAGAACCATCATCCTTTGCTTCCATATACTTCTTCCACTTCACAGTGAGACTAGAGATGAACCCATCCGGCCCCCTCACTTAACAGATAAGAAAAACCAAGTTTTTCACACAGCACGCTGCTACACATTGGTCAACCCTGACATCACGCATATTGGATCTCCAAGGATCCCAGATGTCTGCATCTGGACAAGGGTATAGAACTCCGCCGCTAAGGCCTGAGGGTCCCCAGCCTAAGCAGCAGCCAAGGCTGCAAAGGCTGTCAGCCCAACCCCTGCTCTTTTTTCCAGGGAGGCTCCTCACTGTCCCCAGCTGCAGTCATCAGCCCAGACAGGGCCCAACAGCAAGCTGTGGCCTTGGCAAAGGAGGTTGGATGCCCTACCTCGTCCATCCAAGAAGTGGTGTCCTGCCTCCGCCAGAAGCCTGCCAACATCCTCAATGATGCTCAGACCAAGGTGGGCACTGGTGTGCATGCAGGTTGGGGAGGGAACAATCTTTTGTCTTTACAAATGGAAGGCCAAGGCCTAACAAGGAGATGTGATGACCCTTGCCACCAAGCTACCCATCCAGTGGATGACCAACTAAAGATAAACTTGTCTCCTGAGTCCAAGTCCATGTAGGAGCTGCAGGCTATGATGAAACACACATGGCTACTGATGAAAGATAAGTTTCTCTGTCATTTGGATGTCTTATGTACAAAGTGGGAACTATGATGGAAACCTAGAGTTGACAGATGAAATGAAATAGCACTGGAGAAGGGGTACACCCCATTCTCGGACCATAGAGGCACAATGTCAGGTCACAGCCCCTTAGACAAACAGCTGGGCATCCCTTTCTACCTCTAAAGACACAGCTCTTTAGACAAACAGCTGGTTATCCCTTTCTACCTCTAAAGACACTGCTCTTGGTCTGGGTCTCTGGCTGCCCCTGACACTGGTAAAGGAGACATGAGCAGGCTTGATCCTCGTATCCTTGTAAGAATGAGTCTGGACCCTGAGACCTGTTGGAGCAAGCCTTGTCCTCAGCCTCACCTATGTGGGCTGTGATGGCTAGTATCACTCTTTAGAGCCTTTTCTTTAAGGCCTTCCCTTTCTTCCTGTTCCTCTTGTAAACCTCTTATTACTTTAGCAGAGGCGCTCCGGGAGGGTCCCCTGGGGGCCCAGCATTGCTGAGGGGGGATTTGATGCCCAGTCACTGGCATTGGCACAGAGTGTCCTGCTTGCCTGTTGTCCTGATCATTTTACCCTTGTTTTCCATTAGAGCTCACTGGATTTGGAGCATAGGCATTCATGGTGAAGAGCCCACTAAGCAAAGCAATCAAATGGTTATATAATAGACGGATTCTTGGAGGCAAAGTTATGGGGTTCTGGAGGTGGAGATGAACATGGTTCCATCTTGCAGAGTTCCCTTCACAGAGACCTTTTTGGTCTCTGTCCCTGTTGAGAACCATTAGCTCTTGGCTACAAATGTCAGCTTCAGCTACACAGCCAAGACTAGGATTGTCCCATTTTTAAAAAGTAAAGTAAAATGCATGTAATGTAAAAATGTAGAAGTAAAATACAAATAATGGCCTTCTTCCTCACCCTGCAGCTCCTGGCTGTTAGTGGCCCTTTCCACTACTGGGGCCCTGTAGTCGATGGCCAGTACCTACGCGAAGTTCCAGCCAGAGCGTTGAAGAGGCCTCTGCCAGTGAAGGTGGATCTACTCATAGGGGGTTCTCAAGATGATGGGTTAATCAACAGGGCAAAGGCTGTGAAGGTAGGTGAAGGGAGGCAGGGAGGGGCCCGGGCAGCCTTCTGCTGGCATACTAGGTCAAGAACCACTGACTGACTTACTTCTCTGGCTGACAGAGGACTGTTAGTCAAGGCTACAGAAGCCTGGAGATAATCATGGCGGAAGCTGGGTTCAGAACTAAGACATTTACAAGAGGTGACTAATACAGATATGCCCACAAATTGCAGCTGCGAATCAATCACTGTGAAGAGCTTAGGGCAGAAGCTGACCGGGTGTTCCCAGCCTCAGGGGCACCATGCCACGAGCACAAACACCGCTCTTCCACAATGTGTGTATAAGGACGTTTATGACAGCATTAATTAATGTAGCAAAAATAAAACTGGGAAGAAATCCAGATGTCCCTTGACAGGGAAATGGTTGGCTAAATTAAGATACACTCTAACTGCTAAATATTATGCAGCTGTTAAGAACATGAGCCTGATCTCTCTGCTGGCTTGAGGGATGCCTTTGATGGGCTGCTAAGTAGAAAACAAAAATGTAGAGAAACATGGAGTTGAGTTAGCACTCTTGTTTAAGAAGCGAGTATGTGCATGTATGTAAATGTACGTATTTGTGTATTTCTACATGAAAGGATCATGGCGTGGACAGATACACCAAGCAGTTAACATCGACTGCCTCGGGAAGTATAAAACAGAATGGCTTAATCACCCTTGCTGCCCTCTCCACATGATGAGTTACATGGGATATAACCATTTCCTTGCAATATCACATACAATGCTGCCTTGTGAGAGAGGACACGGGATCTGTGGTCAGGAGACCCTGTCTTCATGATGCTAGCTCTGGAAACACGCTGAACCCTCATCCCTTCTCCCTGTCTTGAAAGAAAGGAAGAACTGCTTTCAGAGTCTCAGCTTAGGGTTCATCTAAGACAGGGAGCATGGTAGGGGGAGGGGGAGGGCCACCCTGGCAGGTGCTTCCTGCACCACCTCTCAGCAGTAGAAGTTCCCCAGCTAGTGATGGAAGCAGCCGCCTCCTAGTACATTTGGACTGCGATGGGTCAAAGCATAGCCCAGGTCGTAAGTCTTGATTACGCTAGCCAATCATAGGAAGGCTGCTTGGCTTTGCGGCTGCCTAGGACTCACCCTCCCTAGCACCATCCCAGTGGCGTTTGGGGAACTTCCTGTCACTGCTGACAGACTACAGGGCCAGAATCCTTCCTCGATGCTGTATTTTGGTTCTCCTTGAGTTATCCAAGGTATTCAGGGCAAAGTTCCCTTTGTTCACTCACAAGGGAACAGGGAGGCATATAGCAGGACGCTCACTGCTAAGCCCACTCTGCTGGGAAGGTATGCCCTGGAGGTGGCCAGAGCAAGGAAGCCAGTGCGCATGTCCATGCCCCGCCCCACAGGGAGCTAGACCCTGGTACACTCACTGTTCATTGGTCACCCATTTCTGTCTCACTGAGCTCTTGTGTGTAGTCTTAGGACCTTGTGTCTCCTGAGCACACCTGGGCACTCACTGCCTGCCTAGAGGATAGGGATGGAGGAAGCAGTGGTTGATGAGAAGCCAGAGTTCGGCTCTCTATACCAGTCCCTTATGAGCAGGAAGCATACACCTCTAGCCTGGCTGTCCATTCAGCAGCCCCCACCTCACCGCCACCCTGCTTGACCTCAGACTGCTGCCAGAGCCAAGAGACTGCTGAACATCTCCACTTAGATGCCTACAGCTCCTCATCTTTAATTCACAGTGGACGGCTGGGGCCACCTCTGTCCTCACTCAAACTCACATACCCACCACAGCCCTCCCAGTGTACCCCCATTCTCAGGCTTAGCAGCAGCAGATTCACCTCATTTTCTCTCAGTCTACAAGCCTTTTGCAAGCCAGGTCACTTGGAGCCAGCCAAGCCCCTCCCCAGCAGTCAGAGCTGTATCCTGACAGTGACCCTCCCCCCCAAAACTTGTTTGATGGGATCTAAATTTCCTCCTTGCTGTGCCCTTCCTGGTCACCTTGCACAGCCAGAGCAGTTCCATGTCTTCGCTGTTACTTAGCTATGTTTAGGGGTGTGACATATGCTGCCCCTTCTCCTAGAATGTCCTCAGGCTTCACGGGCCTCCTCGTTTCATCTGGGGGTCACTTCTGAGACCCTAAACCTGGAAAATCACTACTTCTAGCTGAGCAGGTGCATAGCATGAGTATCAAACATCAGTACCCGTTTGCTGTGCCACTGAACTTGGACCCGTCCCTTACAGTGTGCCAGAAGCAGGGCCAGTTATGGTGGACCTCACTACCAGCTGTATCCTGCCCTCTTAAAGGTGATGGTCAGATCAGAACATAGAGAATCAACATGGCAAATGTCTTTGAATGGCTATGTGCTTGCTGTGTAGAGAGGTGGGCACCATGTCCCTGAAGACAAGAGGTAGGGTGGGGTCCATTGCCCATAGCTGCACTGCCAGCTGGGTGACAAATGAGCAAAGACTGACCAGAACTCCCTCCCTCCCTCAGCCTTCCGTCAGCAGAAGAGCGGGAAAGTCCTGGATGTCTTTTGTCTGTAGGCGGGAGCATTTACATTTCCCCAGAACCTGAGACTTAGTTTCCCTATCTGTAAATTGGGAGATTATTCATAGAGATCCTGCTGAATAGTCCCAGAGGACTCAGACATACTCCACTGTCCAGAAAATAGTTGGACCTGAATACATGTTAGATATTTTTATGCTTAATTCTTTACTAAAATGGTTAATGGCACTGGACCCAAGAAGACATACAAAAGGACTTATAGCCGCTGAACCATCTGACCTCCGGCCAGTTTTCCAAATCACTGCAAAGGTACATGTACATACTAAAACAGGCACACACATTCTCTCCTCATAGCAGTCTGCAGAAATGCCAGCTGGAGCCCAGCCCATAAACACACACAGTCCAGGGAGGGATAGGTGCCTCCTAGCCCTCATTCAGCCCTTAGGACCAGCTATCCCTTTAACAGAGACTACCAAATACCCTCAGACCAAAAAGGATGAGTGGGTAGGGCTTCATCAAAAGACTCTTACCTCTGCCACCCAGGCCACCATGGTCCATGCAAGGAGCCCTCATGACACCCAGAGACATACCTGCAGAGCATGAGGACCACACAGATGCCTGGGAAGATGGAAAGCCTCCGTTTGCTCAGAAAGATCTTATTTCCGAAGTCGAAGCCTTCTATTGAAATTCTTCATTGGTTTCTGAGATGGGGAATTATCCCTGCTTCCTCCTTCTCCTCCTGACTGCTGAAGTTGACAGTCTGTCTGCATTAACCAAGACTACATTTGCATTAGCAGAAGCAGACTTGTTCCAAGATGCACAGTTCTGTTTCCCCTCCAAGCATCTACGAGGAAGGCAAGAAAAAAAAATCCAAAGCTTAGTGTAGCCGGCGTGCCCTGGGCTTGGCTGGGAGTTGGCCTCATTCAGGAGCAGGTGCAGTGGGGGCCTGTGAAGGGGGGCTGTCTGAGAGTTGGAAAGCTGCACCTGGCAGCCAAGTCGCTGGCATGAGCCCCAGTGCAGCAGTATCAAATCCTCGGTGGCAGCTCATAGTAATAGGCGGATGCAGGAATCCTCCGTGTGTGTATGTGAGAGAGATTTCTTGGAAAGAGGTGCCACCACCCCAAATCCCCATGCTAGGTCTGGACCTAGGCAGACACGGGGTGTGAATTAGGATAATGGGTCGTGAGTCCTGGTTTTGACCACGTGGTTTAGGCAAGTTGCTTAGCCAGTCGGAGCTGAGGATATTGTAGCTTCCAAGCAGCACAGTGAGCCCTGTCTGCCTTCTGCACGTCTAAGAATGGAGACGGCTCTCACCAGGGAGGCACTCTGTGGGGCTCCAGCTCCAGGATGCCCTTCCTAACCATCTGTGAGCCTTCCATCCCCACTGAGACCCACACCCTCAGAGCCTGACACCCATGTCTCCTCATGTCTAATCCTTTGGAGGCTCTCCCTAAAAGTGAGACATGTGGACCTAACCCTAAATATACAATATTTTATAACTTTTAATGTAAAGATGAGTGCCAAACAAGCTAGAAATTCTATTATACTGTCACCAAAGCATCGTCGTCATATTTTTCTCTTATCATTTCAAAAGAAGCTAATAGGAGAATATTTTGTGGGTCTCTGAACATGTAGTAGACACTTGGCATACTTGGCCCTGATCCTGCTACATCTGATAGAAAGTTGGCCATTGGCTCTTAGCTCTCTAGTAAGGTAAGTAGTGAACAATGGTTCACAAGTGACTTATATAAGCACCCCCAGGGTTTCACCTATGACTCTGTGTACTGGGGTCTTCTGGGATTTGGGAGAAAGTTCTGAGCATGCAGTTAGAGACCCTGACTTGCAGAGCTCACAGAAATAAGAAACAATGATGCATAAGCACTAAGGATTTCAGGTCTTAAGAGAAGCCTGGAGAAAACAGAGCCAGAGGACACCAAAGGAAACAGTAGAAAGGGAGATACACTTTAGGAGGACAGGGACAGCCTATCAGAGGTGTCCTTGGGGTTGAGACCTGCATGGGAGAAGGAAACAGCCATGAAACAGCGACATCTGAGGGTAAGCGGAGATACAGAAGCCAGAATGGGAATGGCCTGTCTGCCAGACCCAGGAAGATTATATCCTGGGAACCTGAAGAGCAGTAGAGGGAGCAGAGGAAGAAGTGAGAAGGAGAGCAGTAGTGTGAGATCTCAGTGTATGTTTAAGCAGTAAATGATGGTATTGACACACCCCTTACAAAATAAAAACACAAGCATTCTAGTGGCCCATCCAGACCTTGGTGAAGGTTGGGTAATGGAGGAGGTAGAGACCAGACTGTGGTGCCGTAGACATGCAAAGAGCTCCTCGTCCAGGACCTTGATTTTCATGCAGCTTGATTGACTGGCAGATAGGATAGCTGTGAGTCCAGGAGAAATCCAGATGACAGTCCACAGGGCTGCACTGCATGGACTCTGGAGCTCTGGATAAATGGCAGTCAGCCAAATGAAGGGCAAGAAGGTTGAGCAGAGGACATGCCTCTCTGCTTCCTGAAGCCACCCTGTCCATGACACACACAGGGACCCTGCCAGGACGGTCGTTTGTGAGACTTTCCAACCCAACCATACTCTCATACTCTGTCCCATGGCCACTTATGTCACCTCATGTGGAATCCTGAATTCCTAGCTAGCAGTAGTCCAGTCTTCAATTTTTGTTCACCAAGCAGGCAAAAGTTCTCTAGAAGTTCTAGAAAAGTGGTTCTCAACCTGTGGGCCATAACACCTCTGGGGTCAAATGGCTCTTTCTTGGGGGTCACCTAAGACCATTGGAAAACACAGATATTTACATTATGATTCATAACAGTAGCAAAATTAGAGTTATGAAGTAGCAGTGAAAGTAATTTTATGGTGGGGGGCACCACAACATGAGGACTTGTATTAAACGACTGCAGCATGAAGAAGGTTGAGAATCATTGTTCTAGTGAACTATGAGGCACCTGAACCCAGACAAGCTCTGATGCCCTCCGAGTTTTCCTGTAGGGATTCTGCTGTGCTCTCTTACTCCTCAGACCTGCAGCGGCCTAACAGTGAGGAGCCAGTGTGCAAATAGATATAGATTAAGAGCCTTCTTCATGAGTATAGAGCAGCCCGTGCCCACAGAACAGTGTGGCATGCTGCATCTGCCTTGGACTGGAGTAGAAGCTGGGTAGGTGAGGAGGCAGGTAAGCCTCAGGAGACCTGACATGTGAGGCACAGTGCAGGATGGGGTAGGAGGCAGGAGGAAGCAGGTGGAACCTGTGTGTATGATCAGAGAATGGATCTGGTCCACCTCCTTAGAGTGAAAGCATGGCAGGAAGAAGCCACCCCTGGGTAAGCAAGAGTATGTACAGAGAAAAGAGATGAATGGGACATGCATTAGCTGTGCATGACTGGCAGCTTCCAGCAAGCAGGGGGTCAGGGGTGGGGGGGAAGATCTGGATAGGAGACCTGAGGCTTGGTCTGGAAGTAGATTTGGACCTCTCTAATTGAGTTCTGATCCTCTGCAGCCAAGGTAGGCTGAGTGTCTCCTCTTTACATCAGTGAGGGAGAGCCACTGCCTTCAGTGTGCACAGTACTCCTGAGCATGACTGGTGGGACACAACGTTCCTGGCACTTGCACATCTCTGGGGCTCCCCCATGTTAGGAAGTAGCTGTACAGAACTGAGTCTTTCCCTAACCTCCGTTTCTTCATCAGTGCAGGAACATTGCGAAACACCTAGAGACGAGAAATGGCCATAGGGGTTTTCCCCACCCCTTGCTCATCAGTACCTTTGCTGAGGACTGGGAGCTGGGCCAACAGACCAGGGAGTTTGACATCTACAATAGTTCAGCCATTAATGTGTGCACAGCCCTTCAAATATTCATAGCATCCACCTAAAGAAATAAAGATAGGAATAAAAGCAAGAGAGGAGCCTTGTTCCATGAAGTCAGACACTCAGGGCTTTTTTCATCCTGTAGTAAAGTGGTTTGGGGCCTTTAGGGCTTCTCCTCTAGTTTGCTCATTGAAGCTAGTAAGTCTGAGAGCTAGTACAAATTTGCCTCTTTTATTAAGTGACCAATGCCAGAGTTTGAACAGGGTGCTTCAGACTGCCATTCCAACCTCTAAAGATAACCCTGTAGCCTAGACTTCAGTTAACTCCAGTCTGCACATGAGGACTGGAGAGGTTACAGGACAAGCCAAAGTCATAGCACCAGGGAATGCAGAGAAATGGGAACCAAGCTTGAGCTGCTGGCTCCAAGCAGATCCTTCTGCTGGAGCCTCTTAGCTGCTCTTGACCTACAGCACAAACAGACATAAATTTGCCACGGGATACTACAGATGGCTCCCTAGCTGCCCTAATCTTCCCAGAAGCAACCTAGAGCTGGACCACACCGTGCTTTACGGTTTAAAGATGTCGGGATCAGAAGAAGTGAAATCATTCTTCAAAAAGCAGCTTTAGACTCAGACCCTCACACTGATTCCCAATTCAGGGTTCTAGTCACCACTCTGGGCCATGCATCCATGGGTCACCTTCCTTCCGTGTTATGTAGTCCTGTGTTTACGGTGTAACTCTGGGTCATGGTTAAGTTAGTGCTGAGGAAGGACTGACTGCCCCCATGATAGGCCTGAGCTCAATACCAGCCCATGCTGGTTCTCTGTATAATGGCCCTAAGAAGGTACAGACACCCCTGGTCTGGACTGTAATTTCAGGAATAGGGTGATGCCACATCCAGCAGCTGGGCTCCTGGAACACTTTGGTGAAGTGCTCGAGAAATGCTTAACCCCAAGCTGTGAGTGACAGGTAGTGCAGGATGGCCTTAGTAGCCCTTTTGTTATGAGCAATTCCAGGTAGTCGCCACAGATGAGAATCATCCAATTCAGTTCTCCCCAGGCCGTTGGAAACTTAGGAAATCAGTATGGTAAACAACAGGTGGGTAGGTAAAAGCTAATATCATTAGTCTGCAGTAAATGAATGGTAACCCCCAGGTAGCAATGGTAAAAGCAAAGTGCACGCATGATATTCATATGGAGCGGTTTTTTTTTTTTTTTTTTTTTTTTCCCGTGGCAGGGTGGAGAGGTCTGTTAGAGAATGTGGATATGGGGATGAGGCTGGAGTGTATTTGCGTGCTCTTACACAAACCTCTTTATTGTGACCTTGGTCTCCGATCATGTCCAGTGATATTTGGAAGCTGTTTATGCCGGGGATGCTCATTTACTCACAAGCCGTGCCTAGCAGATAGTGATGCATTCCAAATTTATTTCTAAAATGTATGTTAAGATTAGAGAAACATGGCCCTTTTGCATGCTAGCCCCTATGTTCCTCCTCTCTGTCTCCAGGGGCCAGAGCTATGTGACTGGGACATGTCTTTAATCAGTCATCCCTCAGGTGGGCAGGCCAGGCTCCTGTCCTACAGGGGGAATATGCCTGTTAGCTCACTAATACATGGCTCCTTGTGTCCTGATCCTGGATTGATCCCTGTACTGAGAGGAGTTTGGAGTAGCTATTTGTAGAGCAGTGTAAACACACCAGGGCCTGGTAACACGTGGGCTCATGGTGTAGAGAAGCTCCTGGAAACCTGGAAACGTATATGCACCCTGAGCCTGTCCGGGGATCAGGCATCTTGGCCTCACCCCCAAATCTGCATCTTCTGCCCTTCATCTCCAGAAAGGAGAAAACTGAGGCCAGAAGGTAGGAGCTGAGTTGTTCCCCACCCCACGGTGTAGCCAGCTGCCAGGCAAGGGCGGGGCAGGGACGCTGAGAGCGGAAGGAGTGACTGTTGCTCCTGAGCAGCGAGGCAGCCCCTCAGCCCGGCAGTGCAGCCCTCCTTGACTGTCTTTCCTAAAGCAGGTCTGGCCCCAGCCTCATCCATGCACCCTTGCCCATGCAAAGCCTGCACTGTGAGGCTCTGGACATCCACTCACGTGTCCCTGTTTCCACCCACTGGGACATAGCCTAACAGACAGAGAGCGTGACCTTATTGTCCCAGACACTTCCCAGGCCAGGCAGAAGTTGGCCCAGGGAAGGAGTGTGTTCTTATGGCAACGCTATCTGTTCATATTTTGAATGACCAGGGCAGTACTTGGAATGGAACGAACTGTCTTACATCAGACCACAGCGAGGCACAAGCCAGCTAA